ACAGTCTAACACATCAACTCCAGCCCTTTACTGTCTAACACATCAAGCCCTTACAGTCTAACACATCAACTCTAGCCCTTACAGTCTAACACATCAACTCCAGCCCTTTACAGTCTAACACATCAGCCCTTTACAGTCGAACACATCAATCCTTTACAGTCTAACACATCAACCCTTTGCAGTCTAACACATCAACCCTTTATAGACTAACACATCAACTCCAGCCCTTTAAAGTCTAACACATCAACCCTTTATAGTCTAACACATCAACTCCAGCCCTTTACAGTCTAACACATCAACTCCAGCCCTTTACAGTCTAACACATCAGCCCTTTACAGTCTAACACATCAACTCTTTACAGTCTAACACATCAACTCCAGCCCTTTACAGTCCAACACATCAACTCCAGCCCTTTACAGTCTAACACATCAGCCCTTTACAGTCGAACACATCAACCCTTTACAGTCTAACACATCAACCCTTTGCAGTCTAAAACGGCAACCCTTTATAGTCTAACACATCAACTCCAGCCCTTTAAAGTCTAACACATCAACTCCAGCCCTTTACAGTCTAACACATCAACTCCAGCCCTTTACAGTCTAACACATCAACTCCAGCCCTTTACAGTCTAACGCATCAACTCCAGCCCTTTACAGTCTAACACATCAACTCCAGCCCTTTACAGTCTAACACATCAACTCCAGCCCTTTACAGTCTAACACATCAACTCCAGCCCTTTACAGTCTAACACATCAATCCTTTACAGTCTAACACATCAACCCTTTGCAGTCTAACACATCAACCCTTTATAGACTAACACATCAACTCCAGCCCTTTACAGTCTAACACATCAATCCTTTACAGTCTAACACATCAACCCTTTGCAGTCTAACACATCAACCCTTTATAGACTAACACATCAACTCCAGCCCTTTAAAGTCTAACACATCAACTCCAGCCCTTTACAGTCTAACACATCAACTCCAGCCCTTTACAGTCTAACACATCAGCTCCAGCCCTTTACAGTCTAACACATCAACTCCAGGCCTTTACAGTCTAACACATCAACTCCAGCCCTTTACAGTCTAACACATCAACTCCAGCCCTTTACTGTCTAACACATCAAGCCCTTACAGTCTAACACATCAACTCTAGCCCTTACAGTCTAACACATCAACTCCAGCCCTTTACAGTCTAACACATCAACTCCAGCCCTTTACAGTCTAGCACATCAACTCCAGCCCTTTACAGTCTAACACATCAACTCCAGGCCTTTACAGTCTAACACATCAACTCCAGCCCTTTACAGTCTAACACATCAACTCCAGCCCTTTACTGTCTAACACATCAAGCCCTTACAGTCTAACACATCAACTCTAGCCCTTACAGTCTAACACATCAACTCCAGCCCTTTACAGTCTAACACATCAGCCCTTTACAGTCGAACACATCAATCCTTTACAGTCTAACACATCAACCCTTTGCAGTCTAACACATCAACCCTTTATAGACTAACACATCAACTCCAGCCCTTTAAAGTCTAACACATCAACCCTTTATAGTCTAACACATCAACTCCAGCCCTTTACAGTCTAACACATCAACTCCAGCCCTTTACAGTCTAACACATCAACTCTTTACAGTCTAACACATCAACTCCAGCCCTTTACAGTCTAACACATCAACTCCAGCCCTTTACAGTCTAACACATCAGCCCTTTACAGTCTAACACATCAACTCTTTACAGTCTAACACATCAACTCCAGCCCTTTACAGTCCAACACATCAACTCCAGCCCTTTACAGTCTAACACATCAGCCCTTTACAGTCGAACACATCAACCCTTTACAGTCTAACACATCAACCCTTTGCAGTCTAACACGGCAACCCTTTATAGTCTAACACATCAACTCCAGCCCTTTAAAGTCTAACACATCAACTCCAGCCCTTTACAGTCTAACACATCAACTCCAGCCCTTTACAGTCTAACACATCAACTCCAGCCCTTTACAGTCTAACGCATCAACTCCAGCCCTTTACAGTCTAACACATCAACTCCAGCCCTTTACAGTCTAACACATCAACTCCAGCCCTTTACAGTCTAACACATCAACTCCAGCCCTTTACAGTCTAACACATCAATCCTTTACAGTCTAACACATCAACCCTTTGCAGTCTAACACATCAACCCTTTATAGACTAACACATCAACTCCAGCCCTTTACAGTCTAACACATCAATCCTTTACAGTCTAACACATCAACCCTTTGCAGTCTAACACATCAACCCTTTATAGACTAACACATCAACTCCAGCCCTTTAAAGTCTAACACATCAACTCCAGCCCTTTACAGTCTAACACATCAACTCCAGCCCTTTACAGTCTAACACATCAGCTCCAGCCCTTTACAGTCTAACACATCAACTCCAGGCCTTTACAGTCTAACACATCAACTCCAGCCCTTTACAGCCTAACACATCAACTCCAGCCCTTTACTGTCTAACACATCAAGCCCTTACAGTCTAACACATCAACTCTAGCCCTTACAGTCTAACACATCAACTCCAGCCCTTTACAGTCTAACACATCAACTCCAGCCCTTTACAGTCTAGCACATCAACTCCAGCCCTTTACAGTCTAACACATCAACCCTTTACAGTCTAACACATCAACTCCAGCCCTTTACAGTCTAACACATCAACTCCAGCCCTTTACAGTCTAACACATCAACTCTAGCCCTTTACAGTCTAACACATCAACCCTTTACAGTCTAACACATCAACCCTTTACAGTCAAACACATCAACTCCAGCCCTTTACAGTCTAACACATCAACTCCAGCCCTTTACAGTCTAACACATCAACTCCAGCCCTTTACAGTCTAGCACATCAACCCTTTACAGTCTAACACATCAACTCCAGCTCTTTACAGTCCAACACATCAACGCGAGCCCTTTACAGTCTAACACATCAATTCCAGCGCTTTACTGTCTAACACATCAACCCTTTATAGTCTAACACATCAGCTCCAGCCCTTTACAGTCTAACACATCAACTCCAGCCCTTTACAGTCTAACACATCAACTCCAGCCCTTTACAATCTAGCACATCAACTCCAGCCCTTTACAGTCTAACACATCAACTCCAGCCCTTTACAGTCTAACACATCAACTCCAGCCCTTTACAGTCTAGCACATCAACTCCAGCCCTTTACAGTCTAACACATCAACTCCAGCCCTTTACAGTCTAACACATCGTCTCCAGCCCTTTACAGTCTAACACATCATCTCCAGCCCTTTACAGTCTAACACATCAACTCCAGCCCTTTACAGTCTAACACATCAACGCCAGCCCTTTACAGTCTAACACATCAACCCTTTACAGTCTAACACATCAACTCCAGCCCTTTACAGTCTAACACATCAACCCTTTATAGTCTAACACATCAACTCCAGCCCTTTACAGTCTAACACATCAACTCCAGCCCTTTACAGTCTAACACATCAACTCCAGCCCTTTACAGTCTAGCACATCAACCCTTTACAGTCTAACACATCAACTCCAGCTCTTTACAGTCCAACACATCAACGCGAGCCCTTTACAGTCTAACACATCAATTCCAGCGCTTTACTGTCTAACACATCAACCCTTTATAGTCTAACACATCAGCTCCAGCCCTTTACAGTCTAACACATCAACTCCAGCCCTTTACAGTCTAACACATCAACTCCAGCCCTTTACAATCTAGCACATCAACTCCAGCCCTTTACAGTCTAACACATCAACTCCAGCCCTTTACAGTCTAACACATCAACTCCAGCCCTTTACAGTCTAGCACATCAACTCCAGCCCTTTACAGTCTAACACATCAACTCCAGCCCTTTACAGTCTAACACATCGTCTCCAGCCCTTTACAGTCTAACACATCATCTCCAGCCCTTTACAGTCTAACACATCAACTCCAGCCCTTTACAGTCTAACACATCAACGCCAGCCCTTTACAGTCTAACACATCAACCCTTTACAGTCTAACACATCAACTCCAGCCCTTTACAGTCTAACACATCAACCCTTTATAGTCTAACACATCAACTCCAGCCCTTTACAGTCTAACACATCAACTCCAGCCCTTTACAGTCTAACACATCAACTCCAGCCCTTTACAGTCTAACACATCAACTCCAGCCCTTTACAGTCTAACACATCAACTCCAGCCCTTTACAGTGTAACACATCAACTCCAGTCCTTTACAGTCTAACACATTTTACACAATGTCTCACATCTATCTATCTATATATAATTCTCTTCTTGGAGACCCTAGAAAACAAGCTGTAAGCACGCCTAGCAGACCCCTCTCTTCCTCTTTAGGCATATCGCTACCACCCCCATCCCCACATGGTCTGGTGAGCTGTGGTTCACGCTAAATGTTTACAATCGTAGAGACGGATTTGGTGACGGCTATTAGGGGCAGATAATTTAGTTTGAAACGATTTTAAACTTAGGGGAGGTAACTAAGAGGAGGCTGCTTTTACGAGGGTGGGGTGGGGGTAGGGGTAGAGGTTGGGTTTGGGGGAAATGAGGGTTTTAGTGTTTTAAAGCAAAATGTTTAAGTGGCAGCGTTGGTACTGTCGAATTCACAAATTATGAATTACTGAAAAGTAGAAAAAAAAAACAACTAAACAGCGGCGTATGATACGCCGCAGGTCGGCTCGTATATATATAATTCTCTACGTTGGACCATTCGGGACACCTCAACCACGTAGGGCCTACGCACCCCTCCCTCGCATTCCAGGCATGGGAAACAGACCATACCGCTACCACCCCCCCCTACTAGTCTGGTGAGCTGTGGTTCACGCCGAATGTGTATAATCGTAGAACCGGACCGAATTAGTGACGGCTATTAGGGGCAGATATTTTAGATTTTAAACGAATATAACATAAACTTGCAACTGACACAAAAAACATAAACTTGCCACTAAGACAACAACATAAACTTGCCACTAAGACAACAACATAAACTTGCCACTAAGACAATGTGCTCCCGTCCTGCCGGGTACACAACCCTCCGCACACACCCCGTTGCTCTGGTGACAGGTCCTGTTACCCCCACACGTTTTCTCACACGCTGTCAAAAGCAAACAGGAAAACCTTGTTCAAAGTTCAAACCAATAAGCACACAGGAAAACCTTGTCCAACTAAGTTCAAACAAATAAGCACACAGGAAAACCTTGTCCAACTAAGTTCAAACAAATAAGCACACAGGAAAACCTTGTCCAACTAAGTTCAAACAAATAAGCACACAGGAAAACCTTGTCCAACTAAGTTCAAACAAATAAGCACACAGGAAAACCTTGTCCAACTAAGTTCAAACAAATAAGCACACAGGAAAACCTTGCCCAACTAAGTTCAAACAAATAAGCACACAGGAAACCTTGTCCAACTAAGTTGAAACAAATAAGCACACAGGAAAACCTTGTCCAACTAAGTTCAAACAAATAAGCACACAGGAAAACCTTGTCCAACTAAGTTCAAACAAATAAGCACACAGGAAAACCTTGTCCAACTAAGTTCAAACAAATAAGCACACAGGAAAACCTTGTCCAACTAAGTTCAAACAAATAAGCACACAGGAAAACCTTGTCCAACTAAGTTCAAACAAATAAGCACACAGGAAAACCTTGTCCAACTAAGTTCAAACAAATAAGCACACAGGAAAACCTTGTCCAACTAAGTTCAAACAAATAAGCACACAGGAAAACCTTGTCCAACTAAGTTCAAGCAAATAAGCACACAGGAAAACCTTGTCCAACTAAGTTCAAACAAATAAGCACACAGGAAAACCTTGTCCAACTAAGTTCAAACAAATAAGCACACAGGAAAACCTTGTCCAACTAAGTTCAAACAAATAAGCACACAGGAAAACCTTGTCCAACTAAGTTCAAACAAACAAGCACACAAGAAAACCTTGTCCAACTAAGTTCAAACAAATAAGCACACAGGAAAACCTTGTCCAACGAAGTTGAAACAAATAAGCACACAGGAAAACCTTGTCCAACTAAGTTCAAACAAATAAGCACACAAGAAAACCTTGTCCAACTAAGTTCAAACAAATAAGCACACAGGAAAACCTTGTCCAACTAAGTTCAAACAAACAAGCACACAAGAAAACCTTGTCCAACTAAGTTCAAACAAATAAGCACACAGGAAAACCTTGTCCAACGAAGTTGAAACAAATAAGCACACAGGAAAACCTTGTCCAACTAAGTTCAAACAAATAAGTACACAAGAAAACCTTGTCCAACTAAGTTCAAACAAATAAGCACACAGGAAAACCTTGTCCAACTAAGTTCAAACAAATAAGCACACAGGAAAACCTTGTCCAACTAAGTTCAAACAAATAAGCACACAGGAAAACCTTGTCCAACTAAGTTCAAACAAATAAGCACACAGGAAAGCCTTGTCCAACTAAGTTCAAACAAATAAGCACACAGGAAAACCTTGTCCAACTAAGTTCAAACAAATAAGCACACAGGAAAGCCTTGTCCAACTAAGTTCAAACAAATAAGCACACAGGAAAACCTTGTCCAACTAAGTTCAAACAAATAAGCACACAGGAAAGCCTTGTCCAATTAAGTTCAAACAAATAAGCACACAGGAAAACCTTGTCCAACTAAGTTCAAACAAATAAGCACACAGGAAAACCTTGTCCAACTAAGTTCAAACAAATAAGCAAACAGGAAAACCTTGTCCAACTAAGTTCAAACAAATAAGCACACAGGAAAATCTTGTCCAACTAAGTTCAACTAAGTTCTGGGGTACTCTTACACACGTGGTGAAGTATTTGGGGTAGATTAACACACGTGGTGAAGTATCTGGGGTAGATTAACACACGTGGTGAAGTATCTGGGGTAGATTAACACACGTGGTGAAGTATCTGGGGTAGATTAACACACGTGGTGAAGTATCTGGGGTAGATTAACACACGTGGTGAAGTATCTGGGGTAGATTAACACACGTGGTGAAGTATCTGGGGTAGATTAACACACGTGGTGAAGTATCTGGGGTAGATTAACACACGTGGTGAAGTATCTGGGGGTAGACTTCCATAGGGGGAGGAGAAGAACATGAGGGAGGGATGGGGCAGAATCTATGGTTGACTTACGTTCAGTGCAGGAGGTAGTGAAAAACCCGGGTTGACAACCATATACACACATATCTTCATCACAAGTTCCGTCACCGCCGCATTTACCCGTACATCCTGAAGGGAGAAATGTATTGTATAGCAGTAGATACAGATAGACTAGTGTTGTACAGCAGATAGACTAGTGGTTAGAGCTAGACAGACAAGGGTTGTACACAGATAGACTAGTGGTTAGAGCTAGACAAAGAAGGGTTGTACAGTAGTGGATAGAGATAGACAAAGAAGGGTTGTACAGTAGTGGATAGAGATAGACAAACAAGGGTTGTACAGAAAGAAGACGCAATATAACAAATATTATATTTTTAATAAAGTATCACACATTTCATCATACGAGCCAGGTAAACAAAAGTTATTATACGACTTTACTTGATCAAATGTTAAATAATAAAGCAGGCAAACTCAAGCCATAATACAATGTGATTTAACTAATGTTTATAGCACCAGACAGGTAAATAACTTTTCTGAACTTCAGGTAAAACATAAGAGTTTACTGGCATTCATCCACTTGATATATAGTACATAATTAGCCACTTAGCCACTTAGCCAGTTAGCCACTTAGCCACTCACTCCTTTGACACAGCTCGCCATAGTAGCCCGGCACACAGCCATAGACACAGAACTCGTCATCCTCGTGACACGATCCGTCACCGCCACATTGCGAACTACACTCTGAACACAGAGAGTTGTTATTAAGTCAATTTTTAATGACATTTTTAGTGACACGCTCAGTGTTGTTTTAAGGTACATTTTAATGACATTCTAAGTAAATTTTAATGACATTTTTAGTGTCACTCTCAATGTTGTTTTAAGGTACATTTTAATGACATTCTAAGTAAATTTTAATGATATTTTTAGTGTCACGCTCAGTGTTGTTTTAAGGTACATTTTAATGACATGTTTTGTCACTCTAGTTGTGTTAAAAGTAAATTTTAATGACATTTTAAGTAAATTTTAATGACATTTTTAGTGTCACGCTCAGTGTTGTTTTAAGGTACATTTTAATGACATTCTAAGTAAATTTTAATGACATTTTTAGTGTCACTCTCAGTGTTGTTTTAAGGTACATTTTAATGACATTCTAAGTAAATTTTAATGACATTTTTAGTGTCACTCTCAGTGTTGTTTTAAAAGTACACTGTGAACGAATGGATCAAGGTACATCTCTCAATTTGAAAACATATTGTATAACCCGATGTTTAGGAGAAAGTAGTAATTCTTTAATGACGTCACCTAAAATGACGTCACGCATGTCAGCATATAAATCGGCCAACATAGTCCATGTATTTACCTTTTGAATGTCCCATATATTTACCTTCTGAACACGCAAGTCCCTTATATATACTTTCTAAACATGAAAGTCCCATATATTTACCTTCTAACATGAAAGTCTCATATATTTACCTTCTGAATGTCCCAAATATTTACCTTCTGAGCATGAAAGTCCAATATATTTACTTTCTCAACACAAAAGTCCCATATATTTACCTTCTGAATGTCCCAAATATTTACCTTCTGAGCATGAAAGTGCCATATAGTTACCTTCTGAACACGAAAGTCCCATATATTTACCTTCTGAATGTCCCAAATATTTACCTTTTGAGCATGAAAGTGCCATATAGTTACCTTCTGAACATGAAAATCTCATATATTTACCTTCTAAAAGTCCCAAATATTTACCTTCTGAACACGAAAGTCCCCATCTGCCTGGGCTACAAGGTGCCTGACAAGCTCCCGACAAATGCTCACAAGGTGTTCCCCTTTTACACCCTTCAGGGCAAGCTGTAAGATTTTATTACATTCTTAAATGTCTATCTATACATACGTAGGCTACCCACCATTCAGGGCAAGCTATAAGATTTTATTTACATTCTTAAATGTCTATCTATACACATGTAGGCTACACACCCTTCAGGGCAAGCTGTAAGATTGTTTATACACACTGTATCTCAAATAATGTATAAGGTTTTAAAGTTGTCTCATTGACTCGACCCAAGGTTTAAAATGTGTCTCATTGACTCGACCCAAGGTTTCAAATGTGTCTCATTGACTCGACCCAAGGTTTAAAATGTGTCTCATTGACTCGACCCAAGGTTTAAAATGTGTCTCATTGACTCGACCCAAGGTTTAAAATGTTTCTCATTGCCTCAATCCAAGGTTTAAAATGTGTCTCATTGACTCGACCCAAGGTTTAAAATGTGTCTCATTGACTCGACCCAAGGTTTTTAAGTTGTCTCATGGACTCGACCCAAGGTTTAAAATGTGTCTCATTGACTCGACCCAAGGTTTAAAATGTGTCTCATTGCCTCGATCCAAGGTTTAAAATGTGTCTCATTGACTCGACCCAAGGTTTAAAATGTGTCTCATTGACTCGACCCAAGGTTTTTAAGTTGTCTCATGGACTCGACCCAAGGTTTAAAATGTGTCTCATTGACTCGACCCAAGGTTTAAAATGTGTCTCATTGACTCAACCCAAGGTTTAAAATGTGTCTCATTGCCTCCTCCCCACCTTCTCTCTATCTCTTGATCTGTCAATATGTAGCCCGAGTCTATACAAACTTACGTTTTTCACATGTTGCTGTATAGTATCCTGATAGACATCCGTGGAAACATTTTCCATCCTCGTCACGACATGTTCGGTCACTGGCACAGTTTGGAGAGCATTCTGAAATTAGAGGTAATGTGTTCGGTGACTGGCAAAGTTTGGAGAGCATTCTGAAATTATAGGTAATGTGTTCGGTGACTGGCAAAGTTTGGAGAGCATTCTGAAATTATAGGTAATGTGTTCGGTGACTGGCAAAGTTTGGGGAGCATTCTGAAATTAGAGGTAATGTGTTCGGTGACTGGCAAAGTTTGGGGAGCATTCTGAAATTAGAGGTAATGTGTTCGGTGACTGGCACAGTTTGGAGAGCATTCTGAAATTATAGGTAATGTGTTCGTTTGGGGAGCAATCTGAAATTAGAGGTAATGTGTTCGTTTGGAGAGCAATCTGAAATTAGAGGTAATGTGTTCGTTTGGGGAGCAATCTGAAATTAGAGGTAATGTGTTCGGTGACTGGCAAAGTTTGGGGAGCATTCTGAAATTAGAGGTAATGTGTTCGGTTTGGGGAGCAATCTGAAATTATAGGTAATGTGTTCGGTTTGGGGAGCAATCTGAAATTAGAGGTAATGTGTTCGGTGACTGGCAAAGTTTGGGGAGCATTCTGAAATTAGAGGTAATGTGTTCGGTTTGGGGAGCAATCTGAAATTATAGGTAATGTGTTCGGTTTGGGGAGCAATCTGAAATTAGAGGTAATGTGTTCGGTGACTGGCAAAGTTTGGGGAGCATTCTGAAATTAGAGGTAATGTGTTCGGTTTGGGGAGCAATCTGAAATTATAGGTAATGTGTTCGGTTTGGGGAGCAATCTGAAATTAGAGGTAATGTGTTCGGTGACTGGCAAAGTTTGGGGAGCATTCTGAAATTAGAGGTAATGTGTTCGGTTTGGGGAGCAATCTGAAATTATAGGTAATGTGTTCGGTGACTGGCAAAGTTTGGGGAGCATTCTGAAATTAGAGGTAATGTGTTCGGTGACTGGCAAAGTTTGGGGAGCATTCTGAAATTAGAGGTAATGTGTTCGGTGACTGGCAAAGTTTGGGGAGCATTCTGAAATTAGAGGTAATGTGTTCGTTTGGGGAGCAATCTGAAATTAGAGGTAATGTGTTCGGTGACTGGCAAAGTTTGGGGAGCATTCTGAAATTAGAGGTAATGTGTTCGTTTGGGGAGCAATCTGAAATTAGAGGTAATGTGTTCGTTTGGGGAGCAATCTGAAATTAGAGGTAATGTGTTCGGTGACTGGCACAGTTCGGAGAGCATTCTGAAATTAGAGGTAATGTGTTCGTTTGGGGAGCAATCTGAAATTATAGGTAATGTGTTCGGTGACTGGCACAGTTTGGGGACCAATCTGAAATTAGAGGTAATGTGTTCGGTCACTGGAACAGTATATTACAGTCTGTAGTGACGTGTAGAAATGTAACAGTCTGTAGTGACGTGTTGAAATGTTAGTTTGTGTAGTGACATATAGAAATATAAAAGTGTGTAGTGACATATAGAAATGTAACAGTCTGTAGTGACGTGTAGAAATGTAACAGTCTGTAGTGACGTGTAGAAATGTAACAGTCTGTAGTGACGTGTAGAAATGTAACAGTCTGTAGTGACGTGTAGAAATGTAACAGTCTGTAGTGACGTGTAGAAATGTAACAGTCTGTAATGACGTGTAGAAATGTAACAGTCTGTAATGACGTGTAGAAATGTAACAGTCTGTAATGACGTGTAGAAATGTAACAGTCTGTAGTGACGTGTTGAAATGTAACAGTCTGTAGTGACGTGTAGAAATGTAACAGTCTGTAGTGACGTGTAGAAATGTAACAGTCTGTAATGACGTGTAGAAATGTAACAGTCTGTAATGACGTGTAGAAATGTAACAGTCTGTAGTGACATATAGAAATGTAACAGTCTGTAGTGACGTGTAGAAATGTAACAGTCTGTAATGACGTGTAGAAATGTAACAGTCTGTAGTGACGTGTAGAAATGTAACAGTCTGTAGTGACGTGTTGAAATGTAACAGTCTGTAGTGACGTGTTGAAATGTAACAGTCTGTAGTGACGTGTAGAAATGTAACAGTCTGTAATGACGTGTAGAAATGTAACAGTCTGTAATGACGTGTAGAAATGTAACAGTCTTTAATGACGTGTAGAAATGTAACAGTCTGTAGTGACGTGTAGAAATGTAACAGTACGCGTCAGGTGAAATGGAGACAAATGACTTGCCGTACTCACCTTTTTCACAGTACCTGCCCCATTTGTTATAATCACATTTATCACAGTAACTAGTGTTTTGGTGACACGAACCGTCTCCGCCGCAAGTATCTGCACACTCTGAGCATTATTACAGAAACAGTTTATATAATACATGCATAAATATTGAAAAAATATAAATAAATAAATATAAAAATTCTATATTTATGTACTTATATAGGCCTTTATATATACATATATATATATATATATATATAATACGTGACTATGTGTTTGCGTAAGACAATGTGTTTGAAAGTTCATATGGTTATGCAGACTTCGATAAATAGGGCCTACGCAGTTCACAGTAATATCCATGAAGTTTTATTTGACATCCGTTCTCACAGCCGGAAGTGTGACGATCACAGCTTTTGTTGGACGCACAGTCCGTAGGGCATGCTGTGGAGGTAGAGTCAAACACGTGCAACGGTTAGGTACAGGCGTTACGTTAGGTACACACCTCCCATCATACTGGCCTACACGACGACACCTCACGTTATACTGGCCAAAAAGTGGACACCTCCCATACAAAGGAACTAGATGTACACACCTACCATAAGACTAATCCACACATTAACACCTCCCATAAGACTAATCCAAACATCCACACCTCCCAAAAAACTGATCCACACATCCACACCTCCCAAACAAACCAGATGTACACACCTCCCATAAGACCAATCCACCCCTCTACACCTCCCATAAGACTAATCCACACATACACTCCTCCCATTAGACTGATCCACACATCCACACCTCCGATAAGACTAATCCACACAACCACACCTCCCGTAAGACTAATCCAAACATCCACACCTCCCGTAAGACTAATCCAAACATCCACACCTCCCATAAGACTAATACACACGTCCACACCTCCCATAAGACTAATCCACACATCCACACCTCCCATAAGACTAATCCACACATCCACACCTCCCAAATGTACACACCCTCCACACGCCGTACCTCCCAATACACCCAACTTACGTGTCGCGCAGTCTTCTCCATAGTAACCAACCCGGCAGTGATCTATACAGTGCCCGTACTTCCGGTGACACCTTGTTCCATTCATACAAATATCTGGGCATTCTAGCGACAGGGAAGAATGTTATCTATATCAGTTTATTATCAGTTAGAGATGGGGCCTTTTTAGAATGGTACGTGAATTGCTGGACGTTAGAAAATGACATACGAAAGCAACAACAACAAAAGCAACACCTGTACTTATTTACAAGTAATTGTAGTTGTCGTGAAAACACGATCTTTCGCTGTTTAGCTTGCTACTTGGACAAAATTAAACAAAATGAAACTTCACCCCGATAAAACCAAGTCAATGTTAATTACAACTCATCAGAAACGCCTTCGTCTTCCATCCACCGCATTACGCATTACTATAGACAATTCAAACATTGAACAGGTAGACAGTTACAAATGCCTAGGATTGGTTATAGATCACAACCTCACTTGGTCCGGTCATATTCATTTACTAAGAATGTCCTTATTAAAGACAACTTTTCAATTAGCAAGGTTAAAGAACTTTCTGGACTATAGGAGCAGGCTAGTTTTTTATGAAGCTTTTATTCAATCTAGGTTGGATTATGCTTCTGTAGTGTGGAGCGTCAGCTTTATAACTAAGCAGCGTTCTCTTCTATTTTTACAAAAAAAGGGCTATAAAACTGGTTACTGGCTTGTCTAGTAGTCTGGATTCTTTTATTACAACTAAAATACTTCCATTAAATAAAAAGATAATATATACTAAATCAATTTTTTTATATAAAATATTCCACGAAACAGCCCCCTCTTACTTATCAGATCTATTTTCTTTTAACATAAAATTAAATCGTCGTCTTAATTTACCGTTCCCATATACAACTTTTTTCCAAAATCATAGCTTCGCCTACTCTGGTTCTAATTTGTGGAACAATCTTCCTAATAAAATATAGCTATCTAGATCTGAAAATATATTCAAATCTAAACTAAAACTACAATTATTTAATGACCTCTCTAACTGACTCATTGTAACATTTCTCATTCATCTATTATATTCTCTTTTTTTATCTCATTTTGTATTATAACTATGTAACATTATTTCTTTATTCCACATTTTTAGTGCTATGTTACTGCTATGTATTATTGAATTGTTTTATTTGTTTAAACGGCCAATGTGAAAAAAGGCCTTCGTGCCTACAATTGTAACCGTTTTTTTTAAATAACTTTGAATAAATTTGAATTTGAGTTTAAAATGAGTAAAGTAATAAGTTTCTTACGTTTAGTTTTAAACGAGCAACATAATACGCTTTTTAGCTTCAGTTTGAAATGATTAAAGTAATAAGCTTTTTAGCTTCAGTTTGAAATGATTAAAGTAATAAGCTTTTTAGCTTCAGTTTGAAATGATTAAAGTAATAAGCTTTTTAGCTTCAGTTTGAAATGATTAAAGTAATAAGAATGTTAGAAAAGAGGACATATATGTACCAATGTCGCACTCTAAACCTTGGTAGCCATCTTGACACTCGTCACAGTAGCCGTGATCTCTGTCACAATTTAGCTTCGAATTGCATTTCCCATTACATGCTGAAAACGGAGACAGGTTTGGTTTTTTTGTTTAATAGCAACATTGGCAGACGGGACGGCGTGGCTTAGAGATAGAGAGCTAGGCTGCTAACTCAAAACCATCGAGTTCGAATCTGGGTTTAAATCAGTTTCACGTCTCTGAGTCCACCCAGCTCTGATGGGTACCGAACTCATGTTAGGGAAAGTAAAGGCGACTGGGCATAGTGCTTTCCACATTATCCCTTCATATGCCGAGGTCAAGAAACATTAACTCTACTTCATCTGCCCTAACGAATCGCTAGGTCTAAAGATGAATCTTAGCTTAATATTGACAGAGCGTGTTATTTTATCGCCAAGGCAAGACTCAGGTACACAATATAGCCCGAGTAAAGACAGAGCAGTTTTTACCAAGCGGGATCCAAACCAACCAATCCATACGTCCCCGCATTGCCTTTACCTCACATGCATGTATGAGTATAGGTTTTTATTGTATTATGTGTTACGTTGTGTTGTGTGTTTTGTTTCGTGTGATGTATTGCTTTGTTTATTATTTGTGTTTTTCTTTGTTTTTTAAAATACTTTTTTTAAAAACGTAGGCTACACCTTAGATGACACACTGTTTTTCCAATTAAAAAAATATTTTTATTAGAATTATAACGTAAATGTCAGTTTAAACACCTCTCGTGATGCTCAATCACAATCATTAGCATTGGAGGTGTGTCCCAAGGACACAATCATTAGGATTGGAGGTGTGTCCCAAGGACACAATCATTAGGATTGGAGGTGTGTCCCAAGGACACAATCATTAGGATTGGAGGTGTGTCCCAAGGACACAATCATTAGGATTGGAGGTGTGTCCCAAGGACACAATCATTAGGATTGGAGGTGTGTCCCAAGGACACAATCATTAAGTTTGGAGGTGTGTCCCAAGGACACAATCATTAAGTTTGGAGGTGTGTCCCAAGGACACAATCATTAGGATTGGAGGTGTGTCCCAAGGACACACCATGAAGTAGAGTTAACCTGTTTCACTGACATCGGTAGGAGAGGGGATAATTTAGATGGCACAAGGCTCAGCCTGATTTGTTTCCTTAACCTGATCTAGGTACCAATAAAAGCTGGATGGGCTCAGGTAAGTTCTACAGAGACGAGCCCGAGATCCGAACTCCAGAGTTTCGGTTTAGCAGTCGTAACTCTACCATTCGAGCACGCCGTTCCATACATGTCGGTTGAACATCAATAAAACAGTTTACCATTTATTTCATCACAAAGTTATAACTAGACAATGATTGAAAAATATGCTTTTGTTATAAAACTTGTCACAACTGGGGTGGAATACTATCAAACTATATAAACATACAACTCTGTCACAATATCATCAAACAAGTTAGACATAGATTTGTCACAATATTAAAAAAAAACTCGATAAAACGTACATCTGACACAAAATTATCAAACTATATTCAAAATAGGGGGGCTAAACCTTTCACAAAATAATCAAAACACGATAGAGACCTACATTTTTCACAATACAAACCAAACACGATAGAGACCTACGTTTGTCACAATAGAGGCCGAAGTATCCTGGCTTGCAGCCATCCAAGCAGAAACCTTCGGATCTTGAGCATCGCTTATCTCCCCCGCATGTGTCGTTACACTCTGAAACAGATCAACACTAGAGACCCACATGTGTCGTTACACTCTGAAACAGATCAACACTAGAGACATATATGTGGCGTTACACTCTGAAACAGATCAACACTAGAGGCCCATATGTGGCGTTACACTCTGAAACAGATCAACACTAACTAGAGTCCACATTACACTCTGAAACAGATCAACACTAGAGGCCCACATGTGGCGTTACACTCTGAAACAGATCAACACTAACTAGAGGCCCACATGTGGCGTTACACTCTAAAACAGATCAACACTAGAGGTCCACATGTGGCGTTACACTCTGAAACAGATCAACACTAACTAGAGGCCCACATGTGGCGTTACACTCTGAAACAGATCAAGACTATAGGCCCACATGTGTCATTACACTCTGAAACAGATCAACACTAGAGGCCCGCATGTGGCGATACACTCTGAACCAGATCAACACTAACTAGAGTCCACATTACACTCTGAAACAGATCAACACTAACTAGAGTCCACATTACACTCTGAAACAGGTCAACACTAACTAGAGTCTACATTACACTCTGAAACAGGTCAACACTAACTAGAGTCCACATTACACTCTGAAACAGATCAACACTATAGGCCCACATGTGTCGTTACACTCTGAAACAGATCAACACTAACTAGAGTCCACATTACACTCTGAAACAGATCAACACTAACTAGAGTCCACATTACACTCTGAAACAGATCAACACTAGAGGCCCACATGTGGCGTTACACTCTGAAACAGATCAACACTAGGGGGCCGCAAGTGGATGTAACTAGATACTTTATATCACCACTGAATGAATTTCACCAATAGAAAATGGCAACGATAGATGTATGTCACCAATGTATGAATGTCACAAATGTATGTATGTCACCAATGTATGGATGTCACCAATGTCTGAATGTAACAAATGCATGAATGTCACAAATGTATGTACGTCACAAATATATGAATGTCACCAATGTATGAATGTCACCAATGTATGTATGTCACAATGTATGATTCTCACAAATGTATGAATGTCACAAATGTATGAATCTCAAAAATGTATGAATGTCACCAATGTATGAATGTCACAAATGTATGACTGTCACAAATGTATGAATGTTTCAAATGTATGAATGTCACAAATGTATGATTATCGAAAATGTATGAATGTCACAAATGTATGAAAGTTACAAATGTATGCATGTCACAAATGAATGGATGTCACCAATATATGAATGTCCCCTGTGACCTACTTAGGTCGAGTCAGGTTCCATTTTTATTTTGACATTGTATAATACCTTATATGGAGTGATGGTGCAACTACCGGGGTTTTTCCACTGTCTTATTAAGGGTGTCTAGGTCCCAGAAATTTTCCATAAAGATCTGATTGATTAATTCTGATCAGATGACCATCCCAACCAATGACTACATGAGTTGAGGATAACCTCCCCTGTTGCATAAGTCTTTAACTGGATCAGACACACGCAACACGTGGCAGTCTACTTTGATCAAACGGTCTATTAAGACCAGGCCGTCCATATTGTCCGGCAATAGATTCTGACCATTTGAACGTGAGAGAACTTAAGTCCTGTGTGTGTGCTATGCTTTCTTAAGTTGATTTAGTCTTCTAGTATAATATTACTTGTCGCCAAGTGATTCTTGAAGCTATAGCATTGTTGTGTGACCTGTGGCTATTTTTATACAGTGTTGAAATCTGTGATAGTGTTTTTTCTTACGCGTTGTAAGTTGGGTTTTGTTATTTAATAAATTAAATATTTAATCTAGTTTAACCTTGTGTTCTGCCACAACTGTGTTCGCTTATTAAAGGTTGTATGCAGATTGGATGAGTGTTAACTTCAATAGTATCACTAGTTTTCACTAGACGTCGAATTCGAGCCCTAGTGTGTTGTTGAGTTAGTATTCATTCATTTAGGCTGTTAGTCATTTGCATATAACCCAGAAAAAAGAATCCGGGGACGTTCACCTTCTATCTGGCTGGTGGATAGGTAAACGTTACAAAGTGGGGGCCCGTCCGGGATTTAATCTGTCGTTCCAGTTGTTGGTTATATCAGTGAAACACTAAGTTTGGTTTGATTTAGTTGTTTTTCTATCCAGTAGCGCCGTGTTCTTACAACGCGCGCAAGGCTAGAGGTATCTAGGTCAAAAGCCAGACGTGTCACGATAGGAGGTCAAGTACACGGCCCAACGCTCAGTGTTAATTTAGAGAACCTAGGTTTGTTGTGATTTTGAAAGTTAGTGTTATGGAATCTTTTTGGCTAATCCCACTTTTGAGGAGGTAGAAAAGTTGAGTAGAAAAGTTTTGATTAGTGTTGTTAAAGAATTGAAATTGGATTATTCTGTTACGCAGAAGTCAGAGGTGTTGAGAGATAAAATTGTTGTTCATTTTAATAATGAAGGAGTATTTGATGAAAGTTTGTTGGCTGGTGTGTTACTCCGTGAGGAGAAAGTTGCTTTAGAGAAGGCATTAAAAGAACAGGAGTTAGAGGTTAAAATTGCTTTAGATAGGAGGAGGTTGGAATCAGAATTTGGTAAAGTTAGTGATGTCACTTCTCTGGTAGATCCAAAAAAGTTGTCGGTGGGGCAAGTGATTGCCAAATTTGGGAAATTAGTTCCTAAATTTGATGAAACAGATTTGGTCGTTTTCTTTAACTCATTTGAGAGTTTAGCGAAGACATGTGAATGGCCCGAAACTTCCATTACTGCTTTATTGAGCTCGGTCCTTACTGGGAAAGCTGCAAAAACATACCAGGCACTCTCTCACGACGTTCAAAATAACTATAGTTTGGTCAAGACTGCCATTTTGAAGGCCTACGAACTGACGCCCGAGGCCTATCGGATGAAATTCCGAGCACTCCGCAAGTTACCCACTCAATCATATGTGGAATTTCTCTTTGAAAAGGAGAAAATATTCTCAAGGTGGCTACACTCTGAGGAAGTTTCTGAGTTTGAGAAGCTCAGGTCACTTATCCTAAGGGAAGAATTCTTAACGTCCCTGCCTGAAGAGATACGACTTCACATACTGGATAACAAGATAACTGACATCCAGAAGGCTGCTGAGTCGGCTGACACATATATGTTGGTGCATAAGAAACCACCAGTGTCAGGAAAACGCCTCAACCCCGTGCTTCCCCTTTTTGGCAGCAATCCTCCTGTTGGCCAACACGTGAAGACATCACAGTCCAGAGAGAAACCAAGATCAACTCTCAATCGTCGAGCAGTATGCCAGTTCTGCAAAAGACCTGGTCATCTTGTCAAGGACTGTTACAAACGTCGTCAATATAACAGAGAGGTGGTGCGTACTTCTGCGCACTATGCTCTATCCCCTCAAGCAGCCAGTTCAACTATGAACTCTAGAATTCTAAAGGACTCTAACCCTAAGTGTCCGCAAGAAGGTAGTCAAGTCTCCACACATTATGTGCAGTCACATTTTGACTGTTCTCGCCACCATCCAGTTTCTTCCGAGTCTACCGATCTCGAGGGATCGAGAAAAGTTGACTTTTCATCTTTTATTGCCGAAGCCATCATTAGCAAACCAGGTGATCCGTTGTCTCAGCGGAATATCACCGTCCTAAGAGACACAGGAGCGTCACAATCACTTCTTTTGAAAAGTTCAATGGACATTACACCAGAGACGAACACCGGAAATATTTCCATTATCCAGGGAGTGGGGACAAAATCTACTGTCGTCCCTCTACACAAGTTTGCCCTGAAACATCATCTCGTCGAAGGTGAGGTCATTTTAGGTGTGATAGATAGTATTCCTGTCCCAGGAATACACCTACTTCTAGGGAATGACCTTGCGGGAAGCAAAGTATACCCCTGTACGGTTCCAAACCCTTTCTCAACAGTTCCAGATAATGATAATGAACTGTATCCTGCATGTGTGGTGACAAGAAGCCAGACCAAACAATTGGCTGACACAACGTCTGAACTACACCTATCATCGTCAAGAAATTCGACTCCCAAACTGGAGTCTATGCTTCCAGAGAACACAAGCCTGGGCTTACCCCTGAGGATATCTCAGGAAGACATCATTAAAGCTCAACAAGTCGACGCGGAACTCAAGGCAATGGTCGAAAAATCTCTCTCATCTGACGATGGGGAATATTTCTCCGAGAACGGCCTCTTCTTTCGTCGCTCTCTACCAGTGAATGCCTAACCAGCCGAACCATGGTTGGGTAAAAACCAGCTGTGGGTCCCTCCACCTTATCGGCATGAAATACTGAAACTGGCACATGACCATCCAATGTCAGCGCACCCAGGAGTCACTAAAACGACGGCGAAGATCAAAGAACTGTTCTTTTGGCCCAAAATGAGAAATGATGTGTCGCGTTACTGTAAAAGTTGCACGAACTGTCAGTTGGCCGAAAAGCCAAACCAGAAAATTCCTAAGGCCCCTTTGAGTCCGATTCCTGTATTAGAAGAACCCTTTTCTAAAATCGTCATGGACTGTGTAGGTCCCTTGCCTAAAACCAAGGCGGGCAACGAGTACCTACTTACCTTTATGTGTTCAAGTACCCGTTTTCCCGAGGCGATTCCCTTACGGAACATTAAGGCAAAGACTGTAGTCAGAGCCATGACCCGGTTCTTCACTACCTTTGGATTACCTAGAATCGTGCAAACAGATCAAGGCAGCAACTTCACCAGTCACCATTTTCAGGAAGCACTAGCCAAGCTAGGCGTTACCCACATCACCAGCTCAGCCTACCACCCTCAGTCTCAAGGCGTACTTGAGAGGTTCCACCAAACCCTCAAAACCATGCTAAGAACATTCGCTAATAGTAACACCCAATGGGATGAGACTGTTCCTTGGATTATTTTCGCCGCGAGGGACTGTGTCCAGGACTCTTTAGGCTACTCTCCTTTTCAACTTGTGTTTGGACATTCTGTCCGTGGTCCCCTGAAGCTGATCCACGAACGTTGGACAGGTACCAGTGATCATCCAGTGGAAAACTTTGACGATTTTCACGTTCGACTGAAAGCCGTGTGCGAAATGGCTCACAAGAACTTAAGAAAGGCCCAAGTGAGAATGAAAGGACTGTATGATAAGAGTTCTCGTAAACGAACATTCAATCCAGGCGAGAAAGTTCTTGTGTTAGTGCCTAATCTGAACAATGCGTTATCCTTGAGATATTGTGGACCCTTTACTGTGCATTCAAAATTAAGTGATTTGAACTATGTTGTCAATACGCCCGACAGAAGAAAGAAACAGACAGTGTATCATGTTAACTCACTGAAAAAGTATTATGATAATTGTAACAATTTTCATTCCACAGCTAAGATTACTTTACCTGTATGTTCAAATGTTTCTCATGATGTGATACATGATAAATTGAAACCCCCAAAATTGGTAAATTCTTCCTTTTTAGATAATTTGAATGTCCACCTCATGCATTTGTCCACAGAGGAAAGCCATAAATTGTCTCAGTTATTTGAGACATTTCCCTCTATTTTTGGGGATGTCCCCAAAGAAGCGAAGGTTCCACCTCATGATGTAGACGTAGGTGACGCAAAACCCATCAAACAACAACCCTATAGAGTTAACCCGGAAAAAGCTGTTTTGATAAAAGATGAAATTGATTATATGCTCAAGAATGATATCATTGAGCCCAGTTTCAGCAACTGGAGTTCCCCATGTCTCCTAGTCCCGAAAGACGGTGGATCTTTCAGGTTTGTGACCGACTTTAGGAAAGTAAATGCGCTCACCAAAGCTGATTCCTATCCATTACCTCGAATAGAAGACGTTATTGATAAAGTTGGTCAAGCTAAGATAATTTCCAAAATTGATTTACTTTCAGGATACTGGCAAATCCCCTTATCTGACCGTGCAAAAGAAATATCTGCTTTTGTAACCCCTAATGGTTTTTATAGATACAAACGTATGCCCTTTGGTATGCGAAATGCTGGTCAAACTTTCCAGAGGGTCATTAACTCTGTCATTGCTGACATAGACCAATGTGAGGCCTACATAGATGATATAGTTGTATTTTCTAATACTTTTGAAGAACATATTGTTCAGTTGACTAACCTTTTTAGAAAATTGTCTGAAGTTAATTTTACTGTAAACTTGCATAAAAGTGATTTCTGTAAAGGTTCAATTACCTATTTGGGTTATCAAGTGGGAACGAACCAAGTTCGGCCCATTGAAGCTAAAGTAGATGCTATTGTAAAGTTGCCACCTCCCAAAAATTGTAAAGAAATCAAAAAGTTCCTTGGGATGGCTGGTTACTATAGGCGGTTCTGTCAAAACTTTTCAGCTATTGCTGAACCTCTTACTGCATTATTGAAAAAGGGTGTTGAGTTTGAATGGTCAAATAAATGTCAAGAAGCTTTTTTAACCATTAAGTCATTTTTATCTAATGCTCCTGTTATGGCTGCACCAGATTTCAGCAAGCCCTTTAAACTTGCCATTGATGCTAGCAACTTAGCCATTGGCTCAGTCCTATTTCAAGAAGACAACATGGGAATTGACCATCCCATTGCCTTTTTTTCCAGGAAGTTAAATGAAAACCAAAAGAATTACTCTACTATTGAAAAAGAAGCTTTAGCTTTGGTTTTGTCATTACAACATTTTGAAGTCTATGTCTCTTCTTCAACCAATCCAGTCAGAGTGTTTTCTGACCATGATCCCCTGAAATTTACCTCTAAGTTAGGACAGACAAATCAAAGAATATTGAGATGGTGTTTATATTTCCAAAATTTTAATCTGGAAATTTCACACATTAAGGGTAGTGATAATGTTGTGGCTGATTGTTTGTCAAGGATGTAAAATCTTATTGCACACATTGATCATGTGACATGTTTTGTGGTTCATTAAGACCATACACAAGTGTTGTGTTTTCACATGAAAATGAGTGGTATGAGTTTTGATTTGTTCAAAATTCCAATCCTGTTGAATATTTTGTTTATTTTCAGGTGAAACTTAATTAAAGGTGGTTTTTGATTATATGTAATCTTTTATGATAATATGTCTCATATGACTCAGTTGATATTGTAGCTAGTCATTGAAATAAAGGTCTTACCCTGGCGGGTTTACCACTTTTAATATCCACATGGAATATTGTAATACCCCTATTCTGAGGGATTTTGATGTATGATTATTTTTTGAAGGGTTACTCCCCTTTCACCAATTGTAAAAGTTTGAGTTACTTCCCTTTTATGTTCAGGGATATTTTCATCTGGTATTAAGATTTTGATTGCCTACATTTGTAAAACATTTTTTTGTATTTTCATTGCCAGATTGGTTACTTATGAATGTCAATATATGAATGTCCCCTGTGACCTACTTAGGTCGAGTCAGGTTCCATTTTTATTTTGACATTGTATAATACCTTATATGGAGTGATGGTGCAACTACCGGGGTTTTCCACTGTCTTATTAAGGGTGTCTAGGTCCCAGAAGTTTTCCATAAAGATCTGATTGATTAATTCTGATCAGATGACCATCCCAACCAATGACTACATGAGTTGAGGATAACCTCCCCTGTTGCATAAGTCTTTAACTGGATCAGACACACGCAACACGTGGCAGTCTACTTTGATCAAACGGTCTATTAAGACCAGGCTGTCCATATTGTCCGGCAATAGATTCTGACCATTTGAACGTGAGAGAACTTAAGTCCTGTGTGTGTGCTATGCTTTCTTAAGTTGATTTAGTCTTCTAGTATAATATCACTTGTCGCCAAGTGATTCTTGAAGCTATAGCACTGTTGTGTGACCTGTGGCTATTTTTATACAGTGTTGAAATCTGTGATAGTGTTTTTTCTTACGCGTTGTAAGTTGGGTTTTGTTATTTAATAAATTAAATATTCTATCTAGTTTAACCTTGTGTTCTGCCACAACTGTGTTCGCTTATTAAAGGTTGTATGCAGATTGGATGAGTGTTAACTTCAATAGTATCACTAGTTTTCCCTAGACGTCGAATTCGAGCCCTAGTGTGTTGTTGAGTTAGTATTCATTCATTTAGGCTGTTAGTCATTTGCATATAACCCCGAAAAAAGAATCCGGGGACGTTCACCTTCTATCTGGCTGGTGGATAGGTAAACGTTACACCCCAATGTATGAATGTCAAAATGTATGGGTGTCACAAATGTCTCCAATAAAAATGTCAACAATAGATGTATGTCACTAATGTATGGATCCCACCAATGTATGGATGTCACCAATGTATGGATCTCACCAATTTATAAATGTCACAAATGTATGAATGTCACAAATATATGAATGTCACAAATGTATGATTGTCACAAATAAATGAATGTCACAAATGTATCATTGTCACCAATGTATAAATGTCACAAATGTATGAATGTCAGCAATGTATGAATGTCACAAATGTATAAATGTCACAAATGTATGGATGTCAAATATGTATGAATGTCACAAATGTGTGATTGTCACCAATGTATGAATGTTACAAATGTATGAATGTCACAAATGTATGAATGTCACAAATGTATGAATGTCACAAATGTATGAATGTCACCAACGTATGAATGTCACCAATGTATGAATGTCACAAATGTATGAATGTCAACAATGTATGAATGTCAACAATGTATGAATGTTACCAATGTATAAATGTCGCCAATGTATGAATGTCACAAATGTATGGATGTCGCTTACCCTTCTGACACGAGGTTCCATGGGTACCAACACGACACGGCCGGTAACACACCTGCGTGTTCTGGTCGCATAGTTGGCACGACTCTGGACACGCTGCAAATAAAAGTTTAACATAGGAAACACGCATCTGGACATGCTGCAAGTAAAAGTTTGACATAGGAGGCACGCGTCTGAATAAATGTAGGGTATTATCCAAGGCAATAACACACATTTTCTAGAAAAAAAGCTACGATATCTACACACATTGGGTGGGACGCCGTGGCAGGCTTATAAACCGTTACACAGCTACTCCAAGATCTCGAGTTCAGATCACCGTTTAGAGCCTGTCTAAAGTGGATGAGTTCACCTAGCTGTGATGGGTATCTGACTAACGTTTAGAGTCTGTCTAAAGTGGATGAGTTCACCCAGCTGTGATGTATCTGACTAACGTTTAGAGCCTGTCTAAAGTGGATGAGTTCACCTAGCTGTGATGGGTATCTGACTAACGTTTAGAGCCTGTCTAAAGTGGATGAGTTCACCTAGCTGTGAGTGATGGGTATCTGACTAACGTTTAGAGTCTGTCTAAACTGGATAAGTTCACCCAGCTGTGATGTCTATCTGACTAACGTTTAGAGTCTGTCTAAAGTGGATGAGTTCACCTAGCTGTGATGGGTATCTGACTAACGTTTAGAGCCTGTCTAAAGCCTGTCTAAAGTGGATAAGTTCACCCAGCTGTGATGGGTATCTGACTAAAGTTTAGAGCCTGTCTAAAGTGGATGAGTTCACCTAGCTGTGATGGGTATCTGACTAACGTTTAGAGCCTGTCTAAAGTGGATGAGTTCACGGAGCTGTGATGGGTATCTGACTAACGTTTAGAGCCTGTCTAAAGTGGATGAGTTCACGGAGCTGTGATGGGTATCTGACTAACGTTTAGAGCCTGTCTAAAGTGGATGAGTTCACATAGCTGTGATGGGTATCTGACTAACGTTTAGAGCCTGTCTAAAGTGGATGAGTTCACCTAGCTGTGATGGGTATCTGACTAACGTTTAGAGCCTGTCTAAAGTGGATGAGTTCACTCAGCTGTGATGGGTATCTGACTAACGTTTAGAGCCTGTCTAAAGTGGATGAGTTCACCTAGCTGTGATGGGTATCTGACTAACGTTTAGAGTCTGTCTAAAGTGGATGAGTTCACATAGCTGTGATGGGTATCTGACTAACGTTTAGAGCCTGTCTAAAGCCTGTCTAAAGTGGATGAGTTCACCTAGCTGTGATGTATCTGACTAACGTTACGGAAAGTACAAACGGCTAGGCTTTATGTTGACCACAATTAGGTAATTGCTACTTCATCTGTCTGGTTTTCTTATGGAAGCGCCTGTGGCACAGCTGATGAGAAGTTGTAGAATATGAGAAACCTTGGGATCATCAGCTGTGTGGAGAGAGAGCGAGGGGAGGGAGAGAGAGAGAGAGGGAGGGAGATGGAGGGAGAGAGGGAGAGAGAGGGCGAGAGGGAGATAGGGAGGGAGAGAGAGAGTAGAGGGGAGGTAGAGAGAAAGAGAGAGAGAAATAGAGAAAAAGAGAGAGGAGAGTGGAGGGAGAGAGAGAGAGGGAGAGAGAGAACAGTGTTTCTTCCAGACTTTTTTCTCCGGGGGTGCAATTGAAATTTTCGGGGGGGGGGGGTGGACAACAAATTCTTTGGGGGGGGGGGTGGGGGGGGGCTGCCGGACACTGTCAAAAGTATATATTTTCTATATAAATTCCATTTCGTTCGGGGGGGGGGTGGTAGACTCATCCCCCTCCCCACCCCCCCCCCCCCCCCCAAGAGATGCCTGGAAGAAAGTCTGAGAGAGAGGGAGGGAGAGAGAGAGAAAGAGAGGAAAGGGGAGGGAGAGATGGGAGGTAGAGAGAGAGAGAGAGAGGGGGGGGAATAACAGAAAGAGAGAGAGGGAGAGAGGGCGTGGGGGGGAGAGGGGAGGGAAAGAGAGAGGTAGTGCCTTAGACCTATACAAGGGCAACATCTGAAGTCTCTTAACTTTTTGCCCGGGTCTTACTCCATAATTTCCAATCGTCTATCAGACTATGGAGCCTTTTACATTTATTAACCTCTTCTGCCTCATAGCTTGCCATCTTGTAAGAGGTGATATAAAACCCTACCCTCGTTACATTGTGTATTAAATTTGGAACAATAACTGTTGAAAAGTGATAATAAAGGGTGAAAAGTAACGTAAATGGCGAAGTGTTGGAAAACTGGCAAAAAGAGTAGAAAAGTGACGGAAAACGACGAAAAAAGACGGAAACACGAAAAGTGACGGAGAATGACGAAAAATGACGAAGAATAACGACAGGTGACGACTTACGCTGTGTGCAGGTCGAGCCAGTGTATCCATCTCTACAGCCCAGCATACATTTGCCTGTATCTCTCTCACATCGGCCGTCTCCTCCACACAGTTCGCTGCATGCTAGGGGCAGACACATATAAACTAATTAGCTCGCTAGATGGTAATCACATGTCAACTAATTAGCTCGCTAGATGGTAGTTAAAATGTCAACTAATAAGCTTGCTACATGCTAGGGGCAGCCACATGTAAACTAATAGGACGAACTTAACCTTATAAAATGTATTTGTATCAGTTTGGGGGAGGGGTGTGCGGTCATATTCGCGTTTTATACGAAGAAAATTGATTTCCTCTAATTTAGTTATGTATGGCTCTTTGACTCTGATACCGGCCTGCTTTACGTTCAGGATTTTCAAGCACCCAATGAACAAACTACAAAGGCAGCTTTTTTTTCTATTTTTATTTTCATCTATTTCAATGTTTTCTCTCCTAGATGAGCTGCTGTCACCGAATAAATCATATCCCTTCTGAGTGTGGTCAGAACTCGGGACCTTTCAACAGGATCAAGATTTATCGCCCTAAACCCGAGGTCCCGTCCTACGCCACTGTGATGTCATTCAGTGCGTGAATGTTGACAAATTAAAACTAAAATAGCACAGACACGTGTTTCCTGTGGGTTATGATCACTCACGCAAATTGCACTTTTTGCTGTAGAAGCCGGGCTTACAACCCGTGTAGCAGATGGCCGTCTCTCTGTCACAGATGCCCTCCCCGCCACATTTTGAGGAACATTCTAGAAAAATATAAACACTTTCATTATAGGATGCTAGACACGACAGCCACCACATTTTGAGGAACATTCTAGAAAAATAGAAACACTTTCATTATAGGATGCTAGACACGACAGCCACCACATTTTAAGGAACATTCTAGAAAAATATAAACACTTTCATTATAGGATGCTAGACACGACAGCCACCTAATTTTGAGGAACATTCTAGGAAAATATAAACACTTTCATTATAGGATGCTAGACACTCGCCACATTTTGAGGAACATTCTAGAAAAATATAAACACTTTCATTATAGGATGCTAGACACGACAGCCACCTAATTTTGAGGAACATTCTAGGAAAATATAAACACTTTCATTATAGGATGCTAGACACTCGCCACATTTTGAGGAATATTCTAGGAAAATATAAACACTTTCATTATAGGATGCTAGACACCCACAATATTTTGAGGAACACTCTAGGAAAATATAAACACTTTCATTATAGAATGCTAGACACGACAAAATTTTAAGGAGCAATCTAAAAACTCTTTAATCATAGGATGCTAGACACTACACAACCTAAAACAGAACCATATTTTATACAGCTATCTAAATTTGTAATAACTAAATAAGAACTTCTAAGTAGGAAAAAGTAAAATGTGATAACTTTAACAGGCTACTGTGATTTAATTTTCAGTCTTTATTAAATAATACAAATCGCTTTTATAAAGAATTTAAGGAGGAAGTAAATACAACTGTGTTATAGCATTAAGCTAGTGAACAAAATGTTCCACTCCAAATGTCACGGAGCAACACACGCCGTTTTTACTTTCTCGTATATACAAAGTATAGAGAAAGTCTTGTAGTCGTGCAAAAAAAATTTGAGATTTTTGCAAATCTCCACGTTTTTGTTAAAATAATACTGTAGCTGGGGTTGAATTATCTTTATTCTATAGAAAACATCACATGCTCTTGTATAATTATACTTTTTCCCTTTGTTTTAAAACCATTGTGAAAGATAGGCAAACGTTTAAACTACTACCATGACCTAGTTCCCTTTTTTAAATCGTCAAATATGGGTGATCATAAGCTCGTTTTAATAGATTTGTACGTAACAATTAAAAAGAAATTAATTCTCGTAATTTTTACTTTCTCGTATATACGAAGTATAGAGAAAGTCTTGTAATCGAGCAAAAAAAATAATCAAGATTTTTGGAAATCACGACGTTTTACACCTCACTGATACGGAAAAACATAATTTTGCAGTCTTCTCCGTATGTCTGTGTGTGTGTATGTGTGTGTGTAAACACGATAACTTGAGTACCGTTACACCTAGGTAGATGAAATTTCATATGAAAGTATTTTATCTAAATTGTAGATCCGTATCAACTTTTGAGCGATTTCCGATAACCGGAAGTGTTTTTTTTTACTTTGAATGTTTCAAAAGCATATAACTTGAGTGCTTTTTCAGATCGATAAATGAAATTTCAAATGTTAGCAAAATATCTAATGTTCTACATTCTGTCAAATTTTGAGTAATTTCCGTTGACAGGAAGTAGTAATTTACGCTATTTCCGATATCTCAAAAAACGAATGTAACTTTATAAGGTACTAATAATATTGCGCACTATTATGCAAATTTTACTTGGCGTTCACTTGGTTTGCAATTCTTTTTCCACGAGATTTTATTCAATTTTAAAAATTTTAAGTATTTAAAATGGATTAAAAATCATATCTATATCCAGAGTTCCCATCTCCTGTTGTTTTGTATAAGAATTTTCGAGAAAGTTTAGGGGAGATCACTCCCGGTTTATTTCCAAGACGTTCGTGTTGACTAATCAATTGGATCTTAATTTCACCATTATGTGATTTTTTTTTTTACATTTTGTACGTGGGGACTAGTGCGCATACCTGATTCACATCTGCTGCCATAGTACCCGTTCTGACACCCGAATATACACGTCCTGTTGCTGACACAGCTTCTGTCCCCTCCGCATGTGATGGGACAATCTGAAATATTTACACAAGGAAAATCGTAAAAAAAAATACTCGCATACTTTTTCGATTGATTTTCCTTTTGTACTTTCTCGTATAGAGAAAGTCTTGTAATCGTGCAACAAAAAAGTCGAGATTTTTATAAATCTCAATGTTTTACAACTCACTGATACGGAAAAACATTATTTTACAATCTCGTCCGTATGTCTGTGTGTCTGTCTGTCTGTGTGTAAACACGATAACATGAGTAACGTTACAGCTAGGTTGATGAAATTTCATATATAAGTATTTTATCAAAATCGTAGATCCTGATCAACTTTTGAGCGATTTCCAATAACCGGAAGTGGTACTTTTTCTACTTTGAATTTTTCAAAAGCCTATAACTTGAGTACTATTTCAGATAGACAAATGAAATTTCAGATGTAAGTAAAAGATGTAATTGTCTGCCTTCTGCAAATTTTGAGTAATTTCCGTTGAACAGAAGTACTAATTTACTCTATTTTCGATTTCTCAAAAAACGCATGTAAATTTATAAAGTACTAATAATATTGCGCACTATTATGCACATTTTGTGTTGGCGTTCGCTTGATGTGCAATTCTTTTTTCTATAAGATTCTATTCTATTTTTAAAAGTTTAAGTAATTAAAAATCATGTCTATATTTCAAGTTATATAAGAATATTGGAGAAAGTTTAGGGGAGATCACTCCCGGTTTATTCTTCTTTGCTCTTACTTTGAGTGTTGGAAGAGATTCCCTCCAACAAAATTAAGTGTTATGTCAACTTGTTTTGCGCCATAATGGACTGCTTTTTACTTTCTCGTATATACGAAGTATAGAGAAAGTCTTGTAATCGTGCAAAAAAAAATTCGAGATCTCGACGTTTTAGGGCTCCCTGAGTCGGAAAAACATAGTTTCACAATATTGTCCGTATGTCTGTGTGTATGTGTGTGTGTGTGTTTGTGTGTGTGTTAACACGATAACTTGACTACCGTTACAGCTATGTTGCTGAAATTTCATATATGAGTATTATATCAAAATCGTAGATCAGTATCAACTTTTGAGCGATTTCCGATAACGGGAAGTGGAACGTTTTCTAATTTGAATTTTTTCAAAAGCCTATAACTTGAGTACTATTTCAGATAGATAAATAAAATTTCAGTTAAATTTCTAATTCTCTGCCTTCTGTGAAATTTTAAGTAATTTCCGTTGACAGGAAGTAGTAATTTTCGCTACTTCCGATTTCTCAAAAACTGCATGTTAATTTATAAATTACTAATAATATTCCCCTTTATTATGAACATTTTATTTGGCTTCTACTTGGTGTGCAATTCTTTTATCTACGATATTTTATTCTAATTTAAAAAGTTTAAGTATTTAAAATGGATTAAAAATTATGTCTATATCCCTAGTTGCTATCCCCTGTTGTTTCATATAAGAATGTTCGAGAAAGTTTTGGGGAGATCACTCCCGGTTTATTAGATTTGCAACGGGGGCGGCGTGGTCGAGTCTGTAAAAGCTCATGGTTGCTAAACCGAAGTCTCGAGTTCAAACCCTCAGGCTGAGGAGGCTCGTTGGGTGAGGACAATCGCTCTAGTGACAACTCCAAAGTCCTACTATCAGCATTACTTCGCTGAAAACATCACCACGAAAACAGACCCCTATGTTGCATGGCAGCTTTGCAGTAGCTAACCAAAACAGACTACATGTCGCCAATCAACCAGATTCAACAAAGCATATCGCTTATCAAGATTGTAATTGCTCAACATAATGCCTATCACATTCCGACAGTTCTACAAACAATATAATTCAGATCACGCACGTATTGGCTATCAGATAAAAAACATTCCTACAATCAACATAACCATAGCGCGCTTACCACAGTTCTTACGGTAAACCTAGTGACAAATTACACTTACCAATGTTACAGGTTCTGCCTGTCCATCCGGGCTTACATCTGAAACAGTTGCCGAATTCTTGATCGCAATTCTTAAAGCAGTGTTCAGGACATTCTAAAAGTAATTTATATTTGTTTGATCAAATTCAAATCGTTAAAACTTTAACTGTTATCAGAAATAACAGTTATCTAAAAATAAACGAGATATTTTACAAGTAAATAACCATCTTACGAATATAAAGTATGTGTTCGGTTCTCACTGCTTTTTAACCTAGATCTAGTAATTGATTGGCTGAGGACACAAACTAGAGACAACGCAGGAAGCATCAGATGGACATTAACAACTAGCCTAGAGGAACTATATATCTCCGACGACATAATAACAACTAGCCTAGAGGAACTATATATCTCCTACGACACAATAACAACTAGCCTAGAGGAACTATATATCTCCGACGACATAATAACAACTAGCCTAGAGGAACTATATATCTCCGACGACATAATAACAACTAGCCTAGAGGAACTTTATATCTCCGACGACATAATAACAACTAGCCTAGAGGAACTATATATATCCGACGACATAATAACAACTAGCCTAGAGGAACTTTATATCTCCGA